AAAAAGTTTGAAAAAACTTCCACAGGTTGTGGGATACCTAGTCTTTCATTGACAACCATTGGTGGTGGCCTTTGGTTTTCTAAAAGGAATATCGTAGGACTGGTATTTCTTTCATCCACCAGTTGATTCCTAGTCATAATATTTAACTTCTGATTGAATGGTCCTGATAGTGGTGTTGGGACATTCAATAGTCAATACATGGCATTAACTAGTTCTTGCCTAATGCCAGAGTTGGGATTCTACAGTACCTGTTTCAAGTTCTGCATAAACTCCTACATTTGCAGACTTTCTTGGCCATTGGACTGGCCATTCTCTGGATTTTCAAACTCCATGGGATGGATACTCAAACTTGCTTCATGATTGCCATCAACTGGCGTCATTTCCTCAGTTTCATTAGTCTCAAACATAATCTCGTCTTACTTCCTTGTTCGCACCATCTTCCTTGATCCAAGTTAGTAAAGATGTCCCACCAGGTGTGCCAAAAAATTGTTGCTCAAAAATCTATTGCGATCGACAGAAGTGCCTCAATCAACAATAAATTCTTAAAGTGATGAAAACATGCAAAGTAATGAATCAATAAATGCAAATACCTTTATTAATTCAATCGAATGAGTTTCAGTTACAAAATGACTGATTTAACAGTTTTTTTTATTACAACACTAACTATTTCATAAAACTAACTTTAGCACTACTCATAAAATGCCTTGATCGTGGGTCTTGTTTTTTTTTTTTTTTTTTTTGGGGGGCGGGGGGCGGGGGTTTGAGTTATCCTTCATCTTCCTCCTTTTCCTCTTGTATAGTCATTTCTCTCAACCGTTTCTCCCTTATCGATGGTTATTTGGTTTTGTAACTCTCAAACAATTGTTTTTTCTTTCAAACAAAGGCTACGATTGACCATATCTCACATTTTCTTCAACCCTTAACATGTGGCGACCTCTTGATAATTTCAGGCTTGCCAAAAACATATGCATCACATGTTTTTATAATTTGTATTTTAGGTCCAAATACAGCCACCGAAAAATTCTAAAATCATTCTTAGGGAAACTTATTGGGCACTATTGCAACACTAAAGTCGAATGCTACATGCTTTCATAATTGGAAGACTTTAGGTTGAAGATAAAGCTAGATATTTGGGCTTTCTCTTTCATTTAATTGTTGTGGGCCGTAATGCAAAACTTAATAAAGTCTTTAGTTGAGAATAGTGATGGTCAAGCCCAAGAAGAACCCAATTTATTTTAAAAACCCAAATTTCAATTGAAGAGTCTAGTCTTATAAAGACTCACTAAGCCTAATATTGTCCAAGTCCAGTCAAACTCATCAGTTTGACTACGTCATCAAGAGAGAGCACGAGAGCCTTACCTGCACCGCCAAGGAAACAGTCCACCTTCACCTTATCCTTGACCGTATCTCATGTAGAGCACCTCGCCCATTGAGAAGAAGTCGTGAACTCCACCAAAATGGTTGCTTAGTTGCTGTAAAATAGCCCCAACCTATTAGGGGGTCACTATAAATTACATGCCCCACCAACACTTGGGGGGCATCACTTTTTACCTGAGCACAACTCTCTCATCTCCCAAAAAGCTTGTACTCGTTGCTCCCCACACCCTTGAGTTAATAAAGTACCCGGCGATCAGAACCATTCAATAGTGGACGTAGGTCGAGTTGACCGAACCACTATAAATTGTTTGTGTCTCTCCATCTCCTTATATCATTTCTTGCATTTATTGTTCACACTTGACAGGTGGTGTGCAAAATCATTTTGTGTATCATCAAATAGTATGCAACGTAAATTATATTCTGAGAAGCTTTCAACTTTGGGATTTGGGATCATCCTTTTTGTATTTTTGGCAAATGGACTGGGGATCATCACAAGGGAATCAAAAACCTTTAGCACTGTTTATCTCAATTTTTTATATAAATATAAAAATTATATTTCAATGGGTAAATTTAACTTGTGTTTTGTTTCAATCTCAAAGTGTGTTTTGCTGTTCGTGGTTTTTCAATTTTTACCATTAAAAAAAAAGGTTAATAGCACTTTTGGTGTTTAAATTATACATTTTTTGTCAATTTGATTTTTAAAGTATTAATTTTATCAATTTAGTCTCTAAAATATTTAATTCGTGTCAAAATAGTCCATGTGTAGATAGATCGTTAAATTTTTTACGGAATGATCACATGTTAGACACATGCTACCGTCTGAAAGAGTGACATGTGACCACTTTCATCAAAAAATTTAACGAATTATCTGAGTAGGTCCAAAGTGACAAGAATTGAATCTTTTATAGACTAAATTGATGAAATTAAGATCAAACTAATAAAAAAAATACATATTTTAGGGCCTGAAAGTGCTATTAACCTCAAAAAAAAAAAACTTGGGTTAATTACATTAAACGTCTCCAAAGGATAAAATTTATCTTTTTTAGTCTACAATACGTCAATTGTATTATTTTGGTCTTAGAAATATTGAATATGTTTATATGTGGTTCTTCAAGCAGACAAAATATAAATTGTTAACTATTTTTTTATTTTAAACTTGTCACATGATGCCAAAATACAGGCAAAAAATAGTTTGGGTAGTTTTTGGACTAAAATTTGAATAACTTTTGACAAAAAATGTATAATGTGGGTATCACTTGACCAAAATTTGAATAGTTCATTATCAAAATTATGTAATTTGGGTAGTTCTTTGACCAAAAATTAGATAGAAATTTAGTCAAGAGTTATTTAAACTATTTTTTTACCAATATTTAAACATTACGTAACAAATTTATAATAAAAAATTATTAACAATCTAGACGTTGTCTGCTCTAGGGACCATATAGAAATATATATTCAATATTTTAGGGATTAAAATGATACAATTGAAATAGTAATGATTAAAATGAGACAAACCTAATATTTTATGGATATCCAGTACAATTAACCCAAGAAATTTTTACACTAAAAAGTTTTAGTGTTAAATTTATCACGATTTTGGGCCAAAAGAAGTTTAGAAATCACGATAAATAGTAAAAAAGCCCATCGCAAGTACACAGTCCTTAAAATTGAAAACCCTTTTACAAGATCTGGGCACTAATTATCCCTCCCTTGTCGACGTTGTAATATTGTCAATTTTGGGTAATTACAATTGAACCCTCTTAACTATGATTTTTGGCTATCTTTGTCCCTTCACCTATGATCTTTCTTTCAATTTGTTTACTCAACTATTGAGTTTATCACATTGCCTTTTCATTTACTTGAATTTGATTCATATAATACCAAAACAAAACCTCCATCTGTTTTTAGATGGACAAAAGTCTATATTATATAAAATTACAAGGTCTAAATCTACAATCAAACAACGTGAAATTAGCAATTATAGTTAAACATTCTTCTTGAAAAACTTGTTATTTTGGTGATAATGTGAAACCAACACTATTGGAGTTGCCTGAAATAGGTTGATTTTATACGTTTAAGAGTAAAATAAGTCAAGTATATTTGGACCTAGCCTTTTAGACCAACTTATGCAACAATTTTTCAGATCGAAAAAAACTTATTTAGACTAATTCAATAAGTTGATTTTATTGGCTTTTCTTTCTGCTTTTTGAAGTTTTATTGTAAGTCTCACATGACTTTTTAGTTTATTATATTCATAAAATATTATTAGTAATATAAAAAAATTTAAAATTCATATTTTGGGAACTATTATGTATCTATGCATAAAATGTAATTATTTTTTATTTTTACACAAAAAATCTATATACATATAAAAAAAAAAAAAAGAAGAAGCAACTAGAAAGTCACTTCAAACAAACGTTCTCAAATTTTCCAACCTTTTAAAGAACACTTCAAATGATTTTTGAGGACTTTTTTCGAAGCTTTTCAAACCGTAGCTTTCCACCTAAAAATATCAACTCCAAACAAGCCTAATGCCCAAATATTATAATCAAGTGAATAATATGAGACAAGAAACACAACTCTAGGAATCAATATATAGTTTATCATTCCAATTTGATTTGGAATCTATAAGGGCACCCTAGTTGGAAGTCCAAAATTTGGAAACATGAGCTTGTGTTTTAATTATGCCCAAACTTCAAATTTTATGGGACATGGGCGACACACTAGTCGTAGGATGACACGTGGATCCCTTTTGTTGAGCCAATGATCCTTGAGCTACCCCACGCCGAGCACAGTAGGGCAAATCTTCACAATACCAAGGAGGACCCTTAGCCTATAGACTACTCAGGCATTCAGGAACATTGTCCCTCAGGACTGGGAGGGGTAACCGAGCATTTAATTCGCCTTGGGAGACTCACTATCCATATTTTTTTGTGTGACACATGGCAGATGACAAACAATCATTATCTTACATCAACATTGAGGCCATCAATGAATCCCATGAATGATGGCAGAAGACACGACCCTTGCTGACATGGAACTAACATGTGACACCCCGGGGGACATCACAATGAATGTTTAGCACTTGGCCATAAATGCTCAACACATTCCACTCGACGATCAACATCATTCAATAAATGCTTGGCAAACCCCAATAAATGCTCCGGGTCCTAAGGACTTATGAGACGTCCCCAAGCCGGGAGGGGTAAGTCTCTACGAAGGTGGAGCACTTTACCCAAATAGACCAAGGGATACGCCTTCCTCGAGAATGGACACATCACTCAAGCCGAATAGACACTCCCAAGGAAAGATGTTATGGTTTGAAACAAATGAAAAATAAAAAGGAGAAAGAACATTTTATTGAAAAGGCCGAGGGTTTTGCATTCCTCAAGGCTTGCAAAAAACAAAAACAAAAAAAAAAGAGAGAGAAAGAGAAAATAAGATAGAACAATAAATTGGCCCAAAGGCTCTATAACTTGTAGAAAAGAAAAGGAGAATAAATCCTCGTCAGGGTCACAAAAGTTTCAATTTTGGCCACCATCTTCCAAGCAAACATGATCCTGAATAGCCTCTCGATCCAGCACCTCCAAGTCACCCTAAACATCTCCCTGACCACTGTAACCCTAATCACCGCCTTTAGGATCACCGAACAAGTCATCTAAGTCTCCAAATTCTTCGATCATGGCATGGCTTGGCTGGGATAGTGGGGGTAGCAAGGAAGTATAGGTCTTGAGTACCCTCGTATAGCATGGAAAAAGGAAACTGAATGGGGAAGGTCTGCCTTTCTTTGAGCCACCCCCATCACTTTTAGGGATGGGTTCGTTCACATGTGAATAGTCCTGCAGAACATTACCATCAGCTTCATCTTCCTCCTCATCCAACATCAACTCTAGAACAGAGATGTGTTGGAGGAAGAGGTCATAGTCAAGTTTCACCCTAACGGCATGGAGAGCTTCCTCCTAGCCCTTATTGAAGGACTTATTATGGTCGTCCACAAAATGATTTGACCACCTGCTACTGACACTTGTTAAATACTTGAGCATGAAATAACATTCTACTTTTGCTCAATGTTGGCCAACGAAGTAGTTAAACCCTCCACCTGGCCTAACAAGGAGGCATAGTTCTTCTAGGCCTCGATAGTAGAAATTTTTAGCTCAAGCTTAGTCATCCTTCTCTCTATCTCAGCCTCAATAGCCTTGCTCTTCTCCAACTTAGCGAAAGACTGTCCATCTTCATCATAAGGTTGACAATTTAGGAGACTAGGCCAGTGAAAACCTTTTTGCAACTTAGGATGTGATTCTTTTGTTACTTGTCCTTGGCTTGAGCCTTCTTGGCCACCAATCAATATCCCCAAAATCAATCGACAATGACACCCATTTGCTAGAAAATTTGCAAACAAATGAATTTTGGTCATAAAGGGGCGAGAGAAGGGGACAATGGATTAAAAAGATCAATAACTTACCAACACGACATTCTAGATCACCCCTTGGATCTTGGTGGGTGGCCATGTCGGCTTCGAAATAGAGGTCCCCATTGACTATGAGGGTGACATCAAGGGGACTAGGTGATTGAGTTGGTGATCAACACCACCTTATCCCTCTAAGTCATTACACGGGGGTTATATTCCACGGCTTTTCCTGCCAATTTAGGGGTCATTGGCTCAAGTTTAGGCGGCGTATAAATCCACTACCTTTGGATCGATGGAGCGTTGACATCATGGCACAAGGCTTATGCCCCTGGGCAGGGTTCACTCCTTTGCCTCGGCATTAACCTTGAGGAGATTGCTCGGTCTGGGCTAGTCACCACGACAGTGCTTATTGCCAGGGAGGGAGCTATTGCTGGGAAGATGGAGTAATGGCCCCTCGAAACGAACTAGCCTAGTCTAAAGGGTATAGATCTACGAGAGGCAGCTAAGGCTCCAAGTTGTCAATTGTGATCCATGCCATCCTCAACATCTCAGATTCAATTGAAGAAATAGGGATGACATCAGAGTCTTAGTAAGGTTCATCCTCTAGATTCACCTCTTTCTTTAAGGATTTGACTTCATTTTCCTCAAAGACTCGTCAAACCAGATTCCGGATGGGCACTTGGGAGAACTTCTTGTACCCTAAGATGTAGCCCAATAGTATGTGCGCGCTCTCCCAAAACCATATATTCCCTGATGTTGCCAGACAATGAGCAATTCGTCAAAAACAACCGAAGACCATAGAGGTTGAGTGGCCTCCCTCTTGGTTATTTCTTCTGCACAGAATGCAAAATTTGGTTAGTGCATCAATTACAAGCTGAATAGAGCATACTTGGTGAAGGACACCCATGTACTTGACTCCCTGATCCTATTAGGACAGAACAAGCCACTGTACTTGGGTGCATCGCTTCTTTCCCATCGGCTATCTAGTATGATGAGGTCTTTAGTGTATCTCATATCAGATTTAGGCAAGTGGATCACCAAGTACATAGAAGGGTCCCAAACTTTAAGGTAGTATTTTTTATTATAAGTAATCATCATATCAGAACATAAAAGAATATCATTTACTCCTAGATGCCTGCCGAACAGGGAATCCAAGGCCACAACACCAATGACTATTCTAAATAAGTTCACACAACACTATTTGGGGAACAACCTAAAATGCATATTGAACCAAAGTAGGGTAAGAGGAAATCTAACACCCCCTCCATAATATGTTTAGTATGGAAAGACTTGAGGTTGGCAGCTCCCTCGGTGTCACTATGGTAGTCTGAATAAAAAAACTAAGGTGAACACGTCATCCGAGATATGATATTTAACTCTAAAAGTGGACTTCACATCCTAATTCACCTGGGTTTTCCTAAGTTTACCTTTTGAAGCATTTTTCGGCCTATCAGCCACCCTTGCCCTATCGACTACATTGTTTCTAGCCATGAATATATACATAAAGGAGTAAGAGGAGAGGAAGGGTTAGTAAAGAAATCGAATGATCAAACTAACTGACTAAAAACTAGCATTCATAGTATCTTCCAAAAGAACTACTATGGGTGCTTTAGAGGTTCAAAGATTTCAAAGGTCCCACAGATTGAAAGCCCATTGTTATTTATACTCCTTAACCATGGCCATGGTTGTTGAAAACAACGGAGCATTAAATGAAAATTCAAAAATTGACGACTCCTAAGATTCGACGTATGTAGAAAGCCTTCACCCCCCCCCCCACACCACATGGCCCATGATGTGAGAAAAATCGAAGGCTAGGGGCAGTTGACGGGATATGGGAGGCGCGCCAGTCATATGGTGATACATGGATCCCCCTTATTGAGCCAGTAATCCCCAACCTTCCCCAAGCCGAGCACAATAGGATAGATCTTTGTAAGATCAAGGAGGACCCTTAGCCTGTGAACTACTTAGGCACTGGGCACAATGTCCCCCGGGATTGGGAGGGGCAACCTAACATTTAATTCAACTTGGAAGACTCGTTGTCCACATTAATTGGTGTGACACGTGGTAGAGGACAAGCAACCATTCTGTCACATTAAAATTGGGTCCAACAACGGATCCCACGAATGACGGAAGAAAGCACGACCCTTGTTGATGTGGAGCCACAGGATGACACCCTGGGGGGCATGATAATGGATGCTCAGCACTTAGCCATAAATGCTCAGGGCATTCCACTCGATGATTGACATTTTTCAATAAAATGCCTAACAGACCCTATTAAATGCTTTGGGTCTCGAGCACTTATGAGACATCCCTAAGCATACTAAATATGCAGCTCAAGGATTGACAAATCAATTGACAAGACAACCTCAGAGGAGGATTTCAGCCATAGGCTATCAAATTGGCTTAGTGTGATCCACAAATTACTTAGTTATCATCCCTCAATGTATAAATAGTCAAATAATTGGTCCTCGATACACATTCTAAACTAGACCTACAGTGTTCAATCTTCTTTGCCTTAAAACGACGACTAACTTATGCATTGGAAGGAATATGCCAAACATTCCTTTTGTCCCTTTCTAATTTCCTTTCTTGTTCATGAGAATTTCATCCCTTGTTCAATCAAGTGTCACTATCTCAAACTATTGCATAGAAATTAACCCATTCAAAATTGTTAATTATTAATTTGTTTGGTTTGCTTAAGACCACTCCTTTATTCGATATAAGAAAAATATTTTTTCTCTTCTTTCCTTGAACAACACAATCTATGAAGATATTTCCAATTACTTTCTACCATAAAAGTATACGTCTCAACAGCATTAGGGTAAATTACACCTTGGACCCCCCTCTAGAGTTTGAATCTTCATTGATACCAGATTAATTCAATTTTGAATTGCAGACTAAGTATTGATACTTGAATTGTATTCGATACCAATATCTTATTAAAGATTAGGGGTTCCTTTCATTCATTTCTATTTTTTTAGAAATTGACACAGTTTTGATAATAATTTGAGACATTCACAAACATGATATCATTTACAATTTTCTCAGAAAATGAAAATGAAAATAAGAAAACTTAAAACCAAACGTTACCAAAAGGGTTCTTCATGATCGACCATTGGCTGCAAGAAAAAAAAAATTCAAGAAACATTATATTGTATGCAAATAATTTCCCATAAATAATAGGAGGACAATTAGCAAATATCCCAAACTCAAGGGTCAAAGCCGAAACTACCCTAACTGTATTGGCCCAGTCGACCCCTTCCCTCCAATACCCCTCCATTTACGCTCCTCCATTGTGTCATCGCCTTACCCTCTCTCTTTCTCTCTATCTCAATTATCAGTGTTCTATCCACCCCAACAACCCCACAAGGAATCCCATTAATTTTCCCACACTTTCCCGAGAAAAATGAGAGAAATCCTCCACATTCAGGGTGGCCAATGCGGCAACCAGATTGGGGCCAAGTTCTGGGAGGTGATCTGCGACGAGCATGGTATCGACCACACCGGAAAGTACAGTGGCGACTCCGAACTACAGCTGGAGCGAATAAACGTCTATTACAATGAAGCCAGCGGTGGTCGTTTTGTTCCACGCGCAGTGCTCATGGACTTGGAGCCTGGAACCATGGACTCACTCCGATCTGGTCCTTTCGGGCAGATTTTCAGGCCCGATAACTTCGTTTTTGGACAGTCTGGTGCTGGGAATAACTGGGCCAAAGGTCATTACACCGAGGGTGCGGAGTTGATTGATGCTGTTCTTGATGTCGTTCGGAAAGAAGCTGAGAATTGCGATTGCTTGCAGGGTAATGATTCATTTATGCTGCATCCATTTGTGCTTTCTGTTTATGATTTTGTATCTGTGTGGATGAATGGTAGATCTGTTGATTTTTGATTTGGGGGAAATGGAATTTGGTGTCAATATTGAGGAATGAGACTCAGAATTTGAGATTTTGGCAGATTAACATATAAATTTACAATACAGAAGTATGGATGAATCATCAAAGTCATTTGTGTCATTCACATATAATTTGATTATGTCATGCACATATAATTTAATTATGTCATTAACATATGTCAACCAGTTATATGTTTATTTATGAAAATGGTAGATCTTTTAGATTTGAATCATGGGTGAATTCGTAAGAAATGGTTGGCAGAATCGTGGTCCATAGGGGTATATATGGGTGTTTGTAAAAGGCATTTGGATATATGTGTTGAGATGTCCAAAACCCTTTCATGTTTGGGATCATTATGTGCTTTTTTATGCTTCTATATATGTGTTATCTATAGATCACTTTGATATAATATTGTTCGTCAATGGAGGTTGTGTTCATTGTCAGAAATGAATTGTGACTATTTGCAGGATAACAAAGAAAATTATGGGTTTTAAGATTATGTATATTTATAGGTTGAAAATTATGGTTTATATATTATTCACATACATAACTGTTAATTCAAGTGTCTCTGTCGAATGGTGTATGCCATCTTTGTGGTCTTATTGTTTATCATATTTTTATGTGTCAAAACATGCTATTTATTTGTGTTAAACATTTATGTTTTACATTAATATCTATCAAACATTTAATTTTAATTTTGAGGAAGGATGCTAAGGATTGTGATTGCTTGAAAGCAATCAAAAATTTCATGGGCACAGAATCACATGCATTACTTTGTAGATGTATGTCTTTATGAATAGGCGTATTTTTGGGGTATGTTGTGTTTGATATTTTTTTGTTGTTTTTGCTTTAATGTGAAATCTATTGGCTTCGATTTGGGGATTGTATTTGATGGTTATGTTTTAGAAACTTGATTAGATCTGGCGTTGTAGTTTGTGTGTGGTGTCTATTCTTTGGAGACATATTTTCTAGTTTATTGTGATTATGTCTGTCGTCTAATATTGCACGAGTTTGCTTCTTTGCGGATTTTGTAGTTCAATACATTTATATAGCATATGCCTTGTTTAAGGATATGCCTTTGTTTGCAATTTATCTTGATTAGATAGCGGCTTGTCATTAGAAGATCATCCTCTTAGTTCTTGATGATTTAATTTTTATGTCGTATTTTTTCCTTTTCAGGGGGTGGATAGGTTATCCAGTAGTATGT